ACCCTACCGCCCTCGCCGCCCCCGTCGCCCGCTTCGCCACCACGCCCCTGCCGCACCCTCACCATCTCCGCCACATACGCTCTCCCCGCGTCCCTCACCTCAGCTACATTCCCATCAGCCTTGACGTAACCTTACCCCCGCAGTTGCCCTTGCCCCGCCTCCTCCGACTCCCTTCCCGCATCCGCCACCTTCGCCACACCGCCCTCTCCACCAGCGCTGCGCCCCCGTCGCCCCTACCGCCTCCGCCGCCCCTACCACCCTATCGCCCTCGCCGCCCCTGTCGCCGCAGCGGCCGCACGCGTCCACCGACAGTCGGCTAGAGATTTGTGTCGATTATCTGGACGCACCGCGTCACGCGCGCGCCGCTTAATCACGTTATCTCGGGGCGTCGCGGCGCCGGTGGCGGCGGCGGCGGCGTAGGCGGTGCCAGGCCGGCTGGCGGCACAGTAGGGCGCTTCTACCAACTGATGTACAAAGAAATGACCGGCCGAGTACCAGTTCCATTTCTGAGTGTTGGAGAAGGACACGGCTTAAGAGTGTAAATACTCGTAGAATATGTTCTCCTCTGTTCAGGACTTGTGATACAGGAGTTTTTTCTCTCAGCCATGTGTTAAGAATTCGGGAGGGGATTATAATAGATACTGCAAGGTATGATACTGCAAGGTAAATGGTTAAAGAAGGGGTGATCTTCAGATTCTGTGACATGTTGCTTTGTTTAAAACAACTTTGATCCAGGGACTAAGGTCCATGTTTTAGAAAGTGAGAGTATCCGCCCCATGAAAGTTATTTTTCGAGTTTTGAAAAACGACAGCTTTGAATCCGTCACTGAAGCAGTATCATACACATCATAGAATTGTTGATATGATGTATTTTATAAATTATAAAAGTTAACAACGTCCCTATTTTTCTTTTTTGCGAAGGTTCAGAATTGATTTGAGATATTGATCTTACGCGACAACTTAAAATTAAGGTAATTCGCCTCGGGTTTTGAGATGAAATGAAAATTAGTTTCATGATATATTTTCGTTCGCACAAGTAATGATGCATTCACAAATTGAATTGGTTATCATCTGTTTTACCTATATGTATACTTGTAGTTGTTCACGAACATACGCATGTATTTTACAGAATTTTTTTAAAGATGAGATAATATAATCTATAGATATTTAGAATCCAGTTCCGGCAGCTCATAGCATTATCGTCCAAAGTTGTCTCGTACATAGGTACAGGGTCGTATGGAGTAGCATTATTTCCGCAAGTACTACAAATTCTGTGAGCTTAGTTTAAAGATAAATTCAGTATTTCATCCTCGGTATCTGAACCAAAAAGATTGCTTGACATAACTAATGTTGTCTGCAAACAAAACTATTCGATCAAAACTTCCGAAGGCGTCATTTTCTGCACAACTATATGAACAAAGTTTATATTATCG